CACTCAACTGGACTTATCCATTTGTGGTTTTTGTTATAATATCATTTTAGAGGTTTAGTCACACATAGTATTCAAAACAGCCATTGTCAGCAACTGTAAGTACATTCCTATAAGAAATGTTTGTTTTCCCTGTTAGCATTCTTTTTTTAATAACATTTTTAAGTATGTTTATTAAAGCTGGGGGCAGTTAAATAAGGAAGGGCTTAGATAGAAGAAGCAACAGGAGAGAACCTAAACAGAGCTGCTTTTGACTCTAGAAATGTTATAGGAAAGAAATGAACCTAGGTGGGGCTGCTCACTGCAAAATCAGAGAAAAGGGGCCTTGGAGACAGGTTAGCCCAGGATTAGCTGCTGCTGCCCATTGCTCCCCGGATTGCAAGTCTAGTGGGGATCCTTAGAGTTTAGGAGATGCATGCCTGAGAGGGAAGAAAGGCCAGGGTGCCAAGAGGGAGGGCACCCCTATAAGCATTCTTTTTTTAAAAATATATAGAGGAAGGGAGAGAGAGGGTTAGAAACATCGATGAGAGAGAAACATCGATCTGCTGCCTCCTGCACACTCCCGACTGGGGATGTGCCCGCAACCAAGGTACATGCCCTTGACCGGAATCAAACCTGGGACCCTTCAGTACGCAGGCCGATGCTCTACCCACTGAGCCAAACCGGTTAGGGCCCTAGAAGCATTCTTTACAAAGCCTCTTTTAGAGTCAGAATAATGGAAACCAGACAAGGAAGAAGAATGGAATATTGTGATTTGCTGTACCTGCATATAGATGGCAAATATTTAGAAAGGAGGAGTCTCAACTAGTCTTTCCTAAGTGAAGAAATAGAAGAGATGAGACATACTATGTTTGTCATGACATACAATATAGGAAGGCCACAGAAGATGGGGAGCAGTAAAGCATTTGTCCCACTGACATTGTAAGTTGTGTAGAAGCAGCATGGTACTCACACTTTGATGCCTGTTTCTTCTAGTGGGGCCTTGTGCTGGATGCTAGGATAAAAATGACCTGTCTAGGAGTCTCGGGCATGTGTATAATACGATCCAAAGCAGAAAGAACTAGGCATTCTTAGGAAAGGATTAACTGATGTGCCCTGGAAATGCTGAAGATGGATTCTTGGGCAGATGAAGCTAGCCCTTCCTAAAGGAGGCAGCATATCTAAGAATAAATACAACAAGTCCTCCCAATCTCCTGAAATGGGACCTTCTTCATTAGTGCCATAGAGAGCAAAGGCACCGAACCTCGAGCTACCTTCTACAAGAAGAAACAAATGAGAGAGGCAGAAACATAAGAGTAAAATATCAGTGGAGACTAAAACTAATATTTTTCAAGTTTGTTAAAAAGAAGCCCTTCAAGAAACAGTTATAAATCTAAGGATCTTGAAATAATCTCCGAAACAAGAAACAAATAATGAGAAAGTATAGAAAAGTTTCTTTCACAGTGTGCAAGCCTTGTATGTTTAGAAATCAATGAGGAATTATGATCAGAAAGTACTGATGAAGACAAGTGAGGGAAACAGGAGTGTAAGTGGAAGTTTGTAGACACCAGTCCCATCCCTATGGCCCAACTGAGGAAACTTAAGTTCAGAGAGGGACTCTTTTTACCCAACAGGGCACAGCACTGCAGCCCAATGATGTGTGCCTGCACACCCACCCACACACCCTTAAGCCCTTCTGAACTGACTTTACAAAACAGGAACTTAGCCCTTGCCGGTGTTGTTCAGGTTGAGTGTAGCGTGTACACCGAAAGATCCCTGGTTTGACCCCCCAGTCAGGGAACATACCCAGTTTATGGGTTTGATCCCCAGTTGGGGTGCTTATGGGAGGCAATCACATCAATGTTTTATCTCTCCTTCCCTCCTCCTTCCTCTCTATCTCTAAAATCAATAAAAACATATTTAAAACAAAAACCCACAGAGGAACTTACTCCAGAAAAAACTTCATTTCACCATGATATTTTATCAAGGTGGTCTGCTCTGCTGGGGTACAAAGTAATCAGCTCCCTCTTTATCCCTCATTTGCTAGGCTACCATTTTTTTTAAGTAGTTCACTTAAGGCATTATTGTCATAATCATCATTATTACTGAGATATTAAACTGAAACATTGAGACATTCACATACCATAAAGTTCACCCTTTTGAGGTGTACAATTCATCGATTTTTCATATATTCCTAAGGTTGTGCAACTATCACCAATATCTAATTCCAGATCATTTTCATCTTCCCCTAAAGAGATTTCATACCCATTAGCCCTTTCCCAAAACCCTGAGCAACCACTAATCTCTCTCTCTCTGTGGGTTTCCTATTCTGGACATTTTATATCAATGGAATCATAAAATATGTGGTGGTGTTATATGTCTGGCTTATTTGGCTTAACAATGTTTCTCTGGTTCGTGTTATAGCATGAATCAGTGCTTCAATCCTTTTTATAACTGAACTAGAGGCCCAGTGCACGAAATTCGTGCATGGGTAGGTCCCTAGTGGCTGCTGGCTGCCGGCCAGGGCCTCCCTTCCCCCAGCCGCCTGCTGCCACCATATGGGGCGGGGCCAGCTGGGGAAGGGGCCGCAGGCGATTGGCCGGCTGGCCCCGCCCCCTGGTCAAACTCCTGGTCGAGGGGACAATTTGCATATTAGGCTTTTATTGTATAGGATAATATTCTATTATGGTTATACCACATTTTGTTTATTAGTTGGGTTGTTTCCACCTTTTAGCTATTGTGAATAGAAGTAGTGTGACCATTTGTGTATAAGTTTTTATGTGGACCAATGCTTTCTTTTCTCTTGAGTATATACCTAGAATGCAATTGCTGGGTCATATAATAACCTTTTGAAGAATTGCTAGATTCTTTTCAAAGGGCTGTACTATTTTACATTTCCATCAACAATGTATGAGGGATCCAGTTTTGCCACATCCTCACTAACACTTAATACTCACTTTAAAAAAAAAAAAATATATATATATATATATATATATATATATATATATTATTGATTTCAGAGAGGAAAGGAGAAGGAGAGAGAGATAGAAACATTAATTATGAGAGAGATTCATTGATCAGCTGCCTCCTGCACATCCCCTTCTGGGGATGGAGCCCGCAACCCAGGCATGTGCCCTTGACTGGAATGGAACCTGGGACCCTTCAATCCGCAGGCCGATGCTCTATCCACTGAGCCAAACTAGCTAGGGCTCACTTTTTTATTATAGTCATTCTAATAGGTGTAAAATGGTATATCATCGTGGTTCTGATTTTCATTTCCCTAATGACTAATGATGTTGAGCATCTTTCCATGTACTTTTTGTATATCTTCTTTGGAAAAAATGCCTATTCAAATTCTTTGCTCATTTTTTAATTGGGTTGTCTTTTTATTATTGAGTTGTAACAGTCCTTTATATATATTCAGGTTACTAGACCCTTATCAGATACATGTTTGCAAATGTTTTTCTGCCATTCTGTGAGGTTCCATTTTTGAAGTGTCCTTTGAAGCACTGCTGAGCTACTTTAAAAAAAATTATTATTATTTTTATTTCAGAGAGGAAGGGAGAGGGAGAGAGGGATAGAAACATCAATGATGAGAGAGAATCATTGGTCAGCTGCCTCCTGCACATCCCACATTGGGGATTGAACCCGCAACCCGGGCATGTGCCCTGACCAGGAATCAAACCATGATCTCCTGGTTCATGGATCGATGCTCAACCACTGAACCACCGTGCTGGGCTGTTGAGCTACTTTAAACAAATATTAAAACATCTTTTTTTAAAAATATATTTCATTGATTTTTTACAGAGAGGAAGGGAGAGAGATAGAGAGTTAGAAACATCGATGAGAGAGAAACATCGATCAGCTGCCTCCTGCACATCTCCTACTGGGGATGTGCCCGCAACCCAGGTACATGCCCTTGACCGTAATCGAACCTGGGACCTTTCAGTCCGCAGGCCAATGCTCTATCCACTGAGCCAAACCGGTTTCGGCTTAAAGCATCTTAAAACAAACTAAATTAGGAATATGTAATTGGTGATTGAATTATAGTTTAAATTTAATAAACATAATTTTACAAGCAAACCATTGTTTGCAGAACCACCCTTTGAGGCTTCCAAACTAAGAGTTCATTATGGTAGTAATTGCTTTATAGCATTTATATGCTAGGTGCTGTTTGGGCACTCTGCATGTATTAACGTAAATAATTCTCACAACAGTCGTATGAGGTAGAGACTTATCATCATAGTATTGTGCAGAACAGAGGCAGAGGATGGTTAAGTAATTTGCCTGTAGCAGAGATGGACTGCAGATTCCGGTGCTCTTAACCACCTGTGAGACTGCCAAGATGGAATTAAACCATTTCAAAGAACCCCTAAACCCTCGCTTTGGGTTTGAAATAATAGTGCTTTCGTGGTGTCTACACTCAAGGCATTTTCCCTCTCCGTACCAAGCCAGAAACTAGTACCAAGTGTCTTCATTGCTCCCTTTTCCCACAGTCTGGCTTCAGGACCTTCTCACTTCTCGGAGAGTGAGAGGCTTTAGTGTTTGGAAGTAATTGCGAAGGCGCCAGCGTCCCCCAGGTGGAGTAGTGCTAAATTTCTGGCAACTAATGGGCTTTGAGGAACAGGGGTTCAGCCCAATGAGGCTCCAAGCTGAGTCATGGGTGGAGCCAGTGGAGAGGGTGGAACGGAGTCCCTGCTGGGTGCCTACTGTGTGCAGCAACCAGCTTACCTGAGCGGAGCCATGAGTTGGACCTGCCCACGTTGCCAGCAACCCGTTTTCTTCGGTGAGGCCCGGGCTGAGAAGCGGGAGAAAACTGGGCGAGTGTGAGCCGCTGGGTTCCCTGAGGACACGAGGAACAGGCGCGGGTGCAACCCCAGACTCCCTTCTAGCTGTGGGACCGGCACTCTGGCGGGATGGAGCTGGCCTCCTGGAGACACTCCCCACCGTCTCCCGGAAGCAGGATGGGGCTGAGGGGGGAAAGGAGGGCGATTGGCAGCCTGGTTCCACCTTGTTCCCTACAGCGGAGAAGGTGAGCTCCCTGGGCAAGAACTGGCACCGCTTCTGCCTGAAATGTGAGCACTGCCACAGTGTCCTGTCCCCAGGAGGGCATGCAGAGGTGAGACCTATCTGGGGCACACCACCCTATGTCTGTTACTGTCCCCCAGGCACCAGCCCCACTGTGGCCCTGTCAGCTCACCAAAGGCAACCTCAGTGCAACTCCCAAAACCACTTCCAGGGTGGGCCCCACACCAGCCAGGATTTGGGGACCCTGAGTAGTACTGGTGAGCCCCATGCCATTTGAGGGGGAGGAGAAGGCAGCAGCACTGCTTCCTGACCTGCGCTTGCCCTTTTCCCCTGACCACAGCAGCAATTCTGGCATGCCAGCCCACCCTTGCCCCTCCCAGCCCCACCAGCCCAGCCCAGGCCAGTAGGCAGACACCGGGCAGTGTGTTTGGTAGGAAGACCTGTGAGACACAGGAGAAGCCCCCTTATCCCTGAGCAACCCCTTTTCTTCTGCTTGTGCCTAGCACAATGGGAGGCCGTATTGCCACAAGCCATGCTATGGGATTCTCTTCGGACCCAGTGGTAAGTACCAGCTTGGAAGGGGACAGAGTGCAGCGGAAACCCTCTCTGTGGCAGGGACCTGGAGACTCAAGTCTGACTCACCCTCTTCTCTCTGCAGGGGTGAACATTGGTGGTGTGGGCTCCTACCTCTACAACTCCCCCATTCTCACCCGTGCCAACACCACTCCCCTCCACCCCAGCAGTTTCAGCCCCCCAAGGCCCAGGACTGGCCTCCCCCAGCGCAAGAAAAGTAAGTGAGGCTGAGCCCCCTCCTTCTGATCCTTCCTAGGCTGGGGAACAGGGTGGAAGCTGGTGGCTGTCTCTCACATAGTCCTATGCCTCACATTCCTACAACTTTGTTCATGGCAAAATCTTCCATTATCCAAGACCAGTTTTTTTATGTTTCCTCATGTCAGCTGCTGAGTTCATAGGTAAAGTGGGCAAATGGCATTACCACACCCATTTTACAGGCGAGGAAACTGAGGTCAGAGAGGGCAAGTGACCTTGTGTAGTCACAGCTAGTCAGAGGCAAAGCTAGCCTGGAAGTCAGGCTCTCCCAGGCAAGACCATGGAAGGAATGACTTATGAGGAGTCATTGAGACAGGGCCAGTCCCTCACATTCTTCCACTGCTCCCCTCTGTTACTTTCTCCTGTCCCCTACAGTGGGCAGTGACACCGTGCTCCCCAAACACCTGACACCCCTGCCCTGGGCAGCTCTTATATCAGCTCAGGTTTCCTGAGGATTGAGTTGCTGACAGGGTTGGGCTGGTGGGCACCTGAACCCCTGGGAGGACGAAAAGGAAGTAGGTGGTCCCTCCTGCAGATAGGGATGGGACAGGAGGTGGGATCAGAGGGGACTCAGCTCTGTCTGAGGAAGGCATACTTATGGCCACCTGATGGGAGGCTCTGGAGTGAGCATGGCTTTGGGAAGAGGACAGTGCCATATGCAGACTGGTGCTAGAGGGCCCTACTTAGGCCTGGCCTCCACCTCAGCCCTAGCCAGGGCCTCTTCCCCTTAAAGGCCCTTGCCACATGAAGACATTCACTGGGGAGACCTCGCTGTGCCCTGGCTGTGAGGAACCTGTCTATTTTGGTAAGTGACAAGAGAAAGTGAAAGGAGGGAAGTACAAGGTGGGCATCAAAGGGCAGGGAGGTGGTGCAAGGGTCCCTGCCCTGCCCCTAGGGTTACTAACTCTCTCCACCACCAGCTGAGAAGGTGATGTCTTTGGGCAGAAATTGGCACCGACCCTGTCTGAGGTGCCAGCGCTGCCGGAAGACTCTGACTGCTGGGAGTCATGCTGAGGTGAGCAATGAAGGGATGGGTGGTTATGCTGGGAGGAGAGAGGCTGGAGATAGGAAAAGAGCCAAGCTGAGAGCGCTCTCTTTCTCTCTGTGTCCCAGCATGACGGCGTCCCCTACTGCCACATCCCCTGCTACGGCTACCTGTTTGGCCCCAAAGGTGGGCAGCCCCACCCTAGACACTGGGCTTAAAGTATGGCATGTGGGTCTGTGGGGATGTGTGGACAACTTCCCCTGTACTCAGATATATCCCAGGTCCCTCCCAGTTCCCTCCAGCCCTAAGCCCAGTACCCCCTGGCCCCAAGGCCCTGAGTGATGAGGCTCTCTCCCTCAGGTGTGAACATTGGTGATGTGGGCTGCTACATCTATGACCCTGTGGAGATAAAATCCAAATGAGATGCTTACAGAAGTCACCCTAACTCAGGCCTCCCATCATCCCCTCCATGATCCAATGGGAGCTACAGAATTCTTCAATCCCATGGAGGTAGGGGAAGATGGGATTCTGGCAGCGTGGGCCTCAGCTCCGTAGCAGACCAGAAAGTCTAGATTTTCTCTGCCAACTCCTCCCTTTCTCATTCCTATCTGCTCAGGGGAACTGGTCCACCCCATTTTGAATGTTGGCCTCTTGTCCTTTCCAATTCCTTTCCCCAGCAAATTCTATAACTTCAAGGTACTCATAAAACTTGTGTTTATTCAGCCTTCTCCAATAAAATGTTGGCTCCCATGTCTTCATTTCTTTTTTGGGCATGAGGCCTAGACAGTGGGTTGTGGGCGGGGGGGGGGGGGGGTGGCGGTGGAGGATGCATTACCCTGCAAAGTGCCAGGGAGGTAGTAAGACCAGCTATGGAACAAAGAGCTCTGTTCTGGCCCTGGCATTGGGCAGCCTCCAGCATTACACAGTGAAAAGCATGCCCACAGACGTCATAATAGCACCATCTCTAGAAGAAGCACCTTATTCTGCACCTCATTGAGTGTGACAACCGGTAGATCCTGTGGTGAGGTCTGTTAAGAAGTTTCATTATCCATTTGAGAGATGAACAAACTGAGGCTCCAAAAGGGAAATGCCCAAGGTCACACAGCAAATCAGTGGTAAAGGTCAGATCAGAAGCCAGCACCAGACTCAGTGGCTTCCCATTCGGGGCTCATCCCACAGCTCCATATCGCTGCCCCAACCCAGGGGGAACCTTTATTTATAGAATCCGCTTAGCCAAGAGAGAGGTACCAGAATTCTCCAGCAGTCCACTGCATTTTGGAAGTCACTCTGTTGCTAGCAGTTGGATGAGCACAGAGAGTGGCGTTGGTGGCAAATCCAACCCTGAGCAGGGGGCTCAATGCCCCCAGCCCTGGTCCAGAACTTCTGTGGAGTGCCTGCTCCTGAGACCACTCAGTCATGGACCTGCTTCATGGGCATCTGTTCCTCCTGAAGGCTGGACGGGGCATTGGGGAGGAAGGAGTCGTGAATAATGGTGGGGTTTAGCCCCTGAGTCTACCACCCCAGCCTTCCCCATTAGTGCTGACCTAGGGTTTCCCCAATTCTTGGTATATAAATGTGTGTACTCCCACAAGGGACTCCTACACATGCTTATACACATCCCTGATGTACAGGTATACCTGAGTGTGCATACATCCACCTCTTCCTAGACAGTCTTAGGTATTTATGTACACACACATGGATATGGACTTGAGCATGCTTTTATACACACAATTTACATACTTTAGGTCATGCACCAATGCATACTTGCATAGATGTACCAGATACAGACATGTCTTCCTCTGAATCCTACCTAAGGTGTCAGGTACCTGAGCACCCATACCCACATGCAAGTATACACACCTCTTCCCCTCCACATCCTGGATGGTCTCTGGCAGCTGTGCCTTCCTTGTCTCTGGCAGCAGGAGGGCAGTGCAGGCAGCCAGCAGGGCAATCCCCCCATAAGTGAGCTTGGGCAGTGACAGCCATACTCCATCCAGCAAAGCCGCCAGTGGAGCCAAAGAGCCTCCAAGCCGGCCTACCAGTGCAGTCAGCCCCATCCCTGTCTGTCTGTTCAGAGAAAGGATGGGGGAGGGGTTGGTGCTCACAGCTACTTGGAGTCATGCCTCATGGGGCTCTCCCCGGGCTGGCAGGGAGTACCCCTGTTGGTACCCCCTTTTCTCCCCAGACAGCTAAGAAAGCTGAGGCTCCTTTCGGGTGGTCTTCCTACCCACCCCTGGCCAAGGCCCCCCCAAGTCAACACCCACCAGAGGAGGGGGCCCCCATTCTGACAGAGTATCAGTCAGGTATCATTGAAGGAAAAGGGGGTGGGGAAAAGCAGTGTGGAAGGAAGAGGGCCAGCAGCTCATAGATTATGCCATGTTGTCAGAGGAGGTGCAAGGTTTTCTAATCATACTCGGCTGCCTACATGCCGCCTCCTCACCTGCCAATAGCTAGTTGAAAGGGGCCAGGCCTTATGTCCAGACACAACTCCCCAGGGCAGCTCTGCCTGGGCTGCGGGGAGATGGGATGGGATGGGCAGACGGGGCTTCTGGCCACTGCTTTCTTTTAAAGGAGGCCCACAGACGTCTGGCCTCCCTCAGGGTCACTTAGTGAAGAAGATAAAATGGCCCACCTTCTCCCAGATTGAGGCCAACGGAGGCTCTGATTAACTCCGTATTCTGAGTGCTGTGCAGGGAATGGGTGAGAGGGACGGGGGTGCAGTGTGTTGTGTGTATGTGGGGGTGTTGGGAAGAGATGAGACTAACAAACCTTCTCCCCAGGGTTGCCTGGACTCGGGCTCCCCTCACCTGAGCACAGTCGGGTACAGCTCCGAGGTGAACAAGTAGACAGTGGTGAAGGCAGCTTCGGAAAACCCTTTCCCGGTCACCGCCAGGGCGGTGCTCCAGTACACCTTCTCTGGAGGAGAGGGTTCAGGACAGAAGGCGGAGTCTTTAGGGAGGGCACACGTCATTGGCCTGGAGCCGAGGCTTCTGGGAAAGGGCGGGGGCTCTTGGCCAGGAGGCGGGGCCTGGGCGAGTGGGCGGGGCCGGGCCAGGCTCACCGGTGGGCACCAGCAGCCTGAAGCCCAAGGTGAGGGCAGCGCCCAGCAGCATCCCTGCCTGTGTGAGGCGGCGTCCGGCGTGGCGCACCGACAAGTAGACCAGCAGCTTGGCGGGCAGCTCCACGGCCCCGAACAGCAGCTGCGTCTGGTACATGTTCAGCCCCAGCCCCGATATGTCCAGGCTCAGGCCGTAATAGGAGAAATTCACTCCAAACCTGAGAGGGGTCACAGTGCCACTCAGGGGCCTCCTTCCCACCCACCTTGTCCTCTCAGGGAACTTGGCCTTTAGGAGAGACCACCTCCCCCTTGTGGCCAAAGCTTCTTTGCCTAATCTTCACAGCAACCCTTCGAGGTAGGTACTAACAGCGTCCCTTCTACCTGTCCAAGGTCTCCCAATAAGGAAAGGGAAGAGCCTGAATTTGAACCCACGTGACTGATGCCTGCTCCATCTTCTGACCTTCCAGAGCCCCATCCCCCCCATCCCCACCCCCACCCTGCTCTCCACAGTTATAGTTTACTTGTCCCGTTTCCTGTTATACTCAGCATCATCCTGAAGTCAGCTGCTCCCTCCGCACCCCCCACCCCCACCCCGCCAGGCCAGCCCCCTCCTCACCACACCATCATGCAGCACAGTGAGATGTGTCGGAGCCGCGGGGTCCGCAACAGGTCCAAGTAGGAAGGTCTTCGGACCACCCGCTCTGCAGCTGCTACTTTGCGCAGGGCCTGGTGGGGGAGGAGAGTTTGTGACATGGAGTTGACGTGTGGCCTTAGCAAGGCACATTGCTCTCTCTGGGTCTCTATTCCCCCCTTCTGCACTGGAGGGGAGAGATGGATGCACATGGGAGCTGAGCAGGGTAAACCGCCCAGGGTGTGGCCCGCCAGAGGATATCCTGGGAGAACTCTACATTGGACCAGGGAGCTTTTCCTGCACACACGGTGGGCCCCAGGAAGGGAGTGCTTGACACACGCCACACACACACATGTACTTGCATGCTCTCACACACACATTCACCCTCACCTCCAGGCTCAGGCTGTCCTCACCCACAGGCCGCCCATTGAGCCTGGCACAGCAGAGCAGGTACCTGTGGGCCTCCTCCACACGGCCCTGAGTCAGAAGCCAGCGTGCAGACTCAGGCACCCACCTGAGGGACAGCAGGAGGCCCTTCAGTCAGCACCCTAAGTCATGTCTCCCTCCTGGGCACACCACAAGCTGCTTCTCAGCCTGCAGCATCTTCCCAACCCTCCTCACCTGATGAACTTTTATTCGTTTTAAGGCCCAACTTAGAAGCCACCTTTCCCCAGGCCTAGGTTCTCCATAGTCCGGGAGTCACTTTTCTATTCAACCGAATTGGTGTCACCCTCAAGACCTCAGCCCCCAGGACCAGCCACCCACTTCTCCCACAGGTGACAGGAGGGCATAGGATGAATGACAGACAGACCCAGAGGTGTCATTCAGAGCCAGCTCATTTGGGGGAGGCAATGAAATGCCCACACTGCCCGGCCTTCCCTCTACTTGGCCTTCCTACCTCCATGCTGGCTCTGTCCTCCAGGGCACCAGCCTCAGTTTGTGCTTGGCTCTGTCTCTCATGTCCCTCTTGCATCCATCTCCATCTGCCTCTCTGAACCTGCCTTTCAGTCCTGGTCTCTGTCACTCACTCTCTCTCACTGGTCTGTCTCTCTCTCTATCTCTCTATATTTTGTTTTGTGTTTCTCTGCATCTCATGTATTGGTCTCTGTCTCTGGGTCACGGATTGTTTTTCATTCTCTTTGTCTCAATCTCACTGTCTTCGAATCTCAGCCTCTGATTATTCTGTCTCTGGCTTCTTCTCACTCCCCAGCTGCCCACAGGCCTCACCAGAGGCTGATGATGCCTGGGACGCAAGGCAAGGTGACAGCCAGCAGAAGCCATCGCCAGTCCCGTATCAGGTACCCGACCAGGGCCAGCAGCATCACGCCCCCCGTCCAGAAGGTGCTGCTCAGGACCCCTGCCACGGTGCGGTGTCCCACGTCCAGCCACTCCAGCTCTGTCCACAGCCAGAGACAGGAGGACAGTTAGCCAGGGACCTATGGCTCAGTCTCACCCTCCAGCCCTGTGGGCCCTGCCCGTTCTTTGCCTGCCTCACCCAGTGGCATCACGATGATGGTGAAGCCAGCCAGGGCTGTGCCAGTGAGGGTGCGGGTGATGACGAACATGATGTAGCTGACTGAGGCTGCAGTTGCCAGGCCCATCCCCAGGGCACTCACATAGGCCACCAGCAGCAGACGGCGCCGCCCAAACCTACACGGGGGTCATGCAGAGTTAGTTCCCTGCAGAGAGGAGGTCCCAAGACAGAGGCAGACTAGGCCCAGACCCCAGCTAGTGGGAGAAGGTTCTCCACCCCACTCCCTTATTAACCCCCCACCTCACCCCACCTGTCAGACAGGTATCCGAAGGCCACAGCCCCCACCAGCACACCGACGAAGAAGAAGGTAGAAGTGGCTCTGTTCAGGCCTTTCTGCTCACACACCAGGTCCCACTGCAGGGACAGGCAACGAGGGGCCTCCCATGGGCACAGGCCCCTCTCCAACTGGCACCAACCCCTCCACTCCAGACCCTGGGTACTTCTGAGGTCAGCTGTGCCATCCTTGTACCTCCATGTCAGATAATGAACCTCTAACTATTCCCCTCAGCTTGGGGGTGGGAGACTTTGTCCCTCCCCAACCTGCAGCTGCAGCTTCTTCCCATGGAAGGCCTTGACTATGACAACAGGAGGCCTGTATATCCCCAGAGAGATTCTTTCCCCACCTGCATGCACCTCCATTTACAGACAATTCTGTAAATCCTAGACCAGGGCCCAAATGAGGCAGAAAGAGAAGGAGGCTTCTGTTGTTTCTCCACCTCTTACTGCAGAAACACCCTTCTCAACTCTCAGCCCCAGCTCCCTAGAGCTACCTCAGCCCTTTCCTGCCGTAATTACCTCCCAATTAATAATAGCAGCTCGCATGTATGGGCTCCTTACTACAACCTCTGTGCTTTAAATTAATATGTTGACAGAGGGGAAAACTGAGACTCCGAGAAGTAAAGTAATGAGACCCATCCCACCCACGTGTCCCCCAGCCTCCTGGCTCAGGTACCTCCGTTGCAATGGTGGAGGAGAACTCCGAGTGGTCGTACTCCCAGCCCTGAGGGCATGGCACTGTGGAGGGCTCACCCTGCAGCTCCCCACGACTCTGCCCTTCTCCCCCCAACGTAGTGTTGGGGAGGGCCTGGGTGTAGGCGAAGTGGAAGCAGGAGCTGAGTGTGCCATCCGACTCCCGGGGAAGATGGGCCTCCAGCCACATGTCCTGGCTGAAGTTGGCAGGAGCACCAGGCAGGACACAGTGGTGGGCAGGCACAGCAGCCAGGAAGATGGGCAGGAGGAAGTTCATGGGTAGCAGAATTCGGGGCAGGGCCAGCAGGGCCACATTCCGCAGTTGGAAGGGGCCAAAGCCACCCACCTGGTCTAGCAGCTCCTCGAATCTCATGCCACCCACAAATAACTGTCCCCCGTGTGGGCTCCCTATGTAGTAGTCAGCACAGCTCAGTCCACCCACCATATGGACCCTTGGACTCTGGAGGCGGGAGCAAATAGACTAATGGGCGGAGAGCCTGCAGCCACAATCCAGCCCTTGGAGGCTGGCCCAGGACTGGGCCTTCCCTGGCCACCTTGGGATCCCTGCCTGTGCAGCCCAGTGTCTGTGAGGGAGGGGGCTGCCATCCATTCAGGAGTCACTGACTCCATGGCTCTGGGACTTACATATTAGTGCTCAGGGACTAAGTGGGGTAACCGTGGGCTGCCATGATGGGTAGCTGGGTATGTAGGAGCTGAGCCCATAGCCCCTTGATCAGCAGAGCTTCAAGGGTCCCTAAGAAGAGGAGTCTCCTGGGCATGGTGCCAGCCCTCCTTGGATGCCCTTTGTCCTATGAAACCCAGGTGAGCCTTGCCTATTTGCAACCACAGCCTGGACAGCAGCCCAGGATTCAAAACCAGGTGAAGGGTTTTTACTCCTGAGCTACGAGTGTTCTCTGTACCCTGTCAGATTTATGTCCCCACCTGGAGCTTATGCCCTGGCCTGAGACACACCTGGAACCACACTGAGCAGCCTGGCCAGTCTGGGGATCCCAGACGCATCACCCTCCCCCTTCTTCACTCAGGGGCTCTTCCTATACACACAGTCCCTCCTGCCTGCCCCCACCCCTATTTCCAAGAGCTTCCTAGATTACCCCGAGGGCGTGGTAAGGAAGGAGAGGGGTTGCCGTAGTTAAGTGTAATGCCTAAGACTCGGCCTGTGTCTGTCTTCCCCACTTAGTTCTCTCATCGCCCTGCCACAAAAGCACAGCAGAAACCAGCAATGTCAAGTGTTTCTGATCTGATTCTCCAAACACCAGGTCGGCAGAGCTGGGAAGTTATCAAAGTGTGTTCCAAGGGCTCCAGATTTCTAAGCAAATAGGCTTCTTCTTCTTTTTTAAAATATATTTTTATTGATTTCAGAGAGGAAGAGAGAGGGAGAGAAACATCAATGATGAGAGAGAATCATTGATCGGCTGCCTCCTGCACACCCCACACTGGGGATCAAGCATGCAACCTGGGCATGTGCCCTGACCAGGAATCAAACCATGACCTTCTGGTTCTGAGGTTGATGCTTAACCACTGAGCCATGCCAGCTGGGCAGCAAATAGGCTTCTAAGGGCCCAAGTTTTCCAAAAAAAAAATTGAAAATGATAAATTTCATGTAGCCCCCACTTTGAACAGATAAGGCAATGGGGTGTGTGGCTTGCTGGGATCACACGGTGACTCAGCAGCAGAACTGAAGAGGGACTAGGACCCCTGACTCTGGCCCAGGCCTTTGACCTCAGCTGCGGAGCTGGGGATGTTCCAGTCTGCACTGGGCTGGGCTCCCTCACAGAGCTCTGAGGAAAGGGCTATTCAGTGACACGGTGTGTTCATGGTGGTATAACAGGCGTGGGGGTGAGGGCAGTGATTTGGAGGTGGTGACAGGAGGTGATAAAAGTAAGAGATATTTGTTGAGTCTCTAGTGCTACCCCACTAGAGTGAGGTACAAAGATGTGTCAGACACAACCCCTGCCCTCAGTGAGGGTGCGGTCTAGCAGGAGGGTTCAAATGAGTTACATAAACCTTCCTAACTTGTCTCACCCCTTTCAACCCACTCTCCACATACCTGCCACAATGAACATTTCAGAACAAATGTTACAGAGGAGTGTCTCTGCTTAAAGCCTTCCCCATCTCTCACTGCTGGAGGGTGAAAGTCTGCTGGAAGCTGGTCCATCCTTGTTGCTTGACACAGTCACTGCATGGAAGAAACATCTGCACAGCATATGTTTCAAGGTATCTGGCGTATACGGCATACTGTTCTTAATGTTTGCTCCCCCTTTTTTAGTGCTATGTGTTATAACCAGAACCACCTCCCTGAGAAAGGTTGTTTCCCCAGGTGGGGATTTTTCCCTGGAGTTAGGGATTAACAGGACTAAAGAAGAGAATAAATCAGTAAAACTCTCTAGTGTTACAGAAATACCATGTACTACTTATGAAGAACTTGGACTAAGACTGTTGGCAATAAATTTGGGACTTGTTGGGCCCACATCCCCAGGGGTCTGCCACCAGAAAAAGCACCAAAGCCTATACCCCTGGAGACTCACCGACACAGGGCAGTCCCAGGGAAGGCAAGCAGGGAGGCTGGAAGGACATAACCTTTACTGAGTAGGATAATCTCCTTCAGTCACTTCCTTGTAGCTTATCAGTAGAGCAATAGAATAGTGACCTTGGAATAGCCCTTATAACGGAACACAGAGATTAACCTACACAAGATCAAAAACAACAGAACTAGATAGAGACAGGATTTTTGGCAAAGGTCAGATAAGAAACTATGGAAATGAAACAAGGAACTGTAGAAGGTTACCCAAAACACCATGATGTGATTATAGAGGCATGCTTATAGGATCAAATGTTATAAATACAGATGTAACAGGACAATAAAGAGAGAACCCAACTATGCTGATGATCTGAACGCTACTTCTGTGTCCTTCATTATTCGCCGACTCCGTCCACACCTTTGGGAACCCCCAGACCTGCTGGGGCTGGACCCCAACAAAAGTCCAACTCCCTAGCATGACCCATATGACTCCAAGACTGGCTTCTCTCCACCTGCCTCTGGCCCCTCCCAACAAGGCCCCCTTCCCTCCAGTTCCCCAAACACACCAGCCTGTTGGCACCTCACACCTTGCACCACTGGCCTCCATCTTATTCCTCTGGTGGATGCCCAAGGCATTCTGGAGACCAGCTCAAGGATAAGACCACTCCTGTCCCATTTGCTATCACTCACATGTGATCCCACACTGTCGGTTCCTCCCTCATTTAATATTATCTACACTAATAAAAGATAAAGATGCTAATTGACCACAACTTCACTACGCCCTAAGCCACGCCCACCAGCCCATCAGAGCGACTATATGCAAATTAACCCAACCAAGATGGCAGCCGGCAGCCACAGAGCTGGAGCAAGCAGGAGGCTTGGTTGCCCGGGCGATGGAGGAAGCCAAGCTTCCCGCCAGCCTTGAGCCAACTGTGGCCTTCGCTCATGGCAACAAAGTTTTAATTATAGAAAATAAACAAATCCCAGATACCTGCTTCCAGCCAGCCTCCACTGGGAGGTTGGTGGCTGGGGGCTGTGGCCAGCCTGCAAACAGCCATCAGCCACTCACCCAGGATGGCCACATCCTCATGGGGTGAGGGTCCCCGCTGGGGGGCTTAGCCAGCCTGAAAACAGCCCTCAGCCCCTCACCCAAACTGGCCAGGCACCCCAGCAGGACCCCCCCCACCCTGAAGGGGGTCTGGCCAGTCTGAAAAAGGCCCTCAGCCCCTCACCCAGGCTGCCCAGGCACCCTAGTGGGGACCCCCACACTGAAGGGGCTGTGGCCAGCCTGCAAACAGTCATCAGCCCCTCACCCAGGCTGGCCAGGCACTCTGTATAATAGAAGGGTAATATGCAAATGGTAATAGTGATGTGGTTATGAGGGCAGTTGTGATGATGAGGATTGTATAGACGGTACTGATGGTGGTGGTGGTTGTAGTCATGAAAGTGGTGGTAATGGTGATAGCAATGATGGTGGTGGTGGAGCCTAGTTTGGGAGACGGGTATCTGTGATTTGAGTGACGATGGTGCTGGAATGGTGGGTAGGAGAGTCAGAGGTGGGTAAGGGAGATAGTGATGATTATGATAAAATTGATGGTGGTGGTAATGGGTGATGTCACACCACTTTGAGTTTACTACTACATGGGATAAGGAGGAATGCAGAAGATGCCACCTGGGGCTGATGAAAATGCGCTTGTATTATATTTCCTTCTAACCTATGGCCCAATTCCCATGACCTTGCTGACTCTCCACCCCATCACCTCATTACCATGGGCAATGATCAAGCTCCTACATCTGCTGAGGTCTTAGAAGTCGTTTTGACCTCCCTTCAGTATTGAGTTAGTCTCAGCTCTTGTCCTGGTCTTGATGCCAGGACAAGAGTAGCCAATGGGAAAATATTAGCAGGCCCCAGTGTCTGCTGGTCAGAAACATGACACCCTCCACACTCCCACCTTTGTCTCTTTTCTCCAGGGTGTCCTCAAGGGACCTTTCCTCCCATTAACAAAGGCCCCTGCAATGTCTCTGATCTTGTAGCCCCTATGTAGCTAGCTCCTGACTGAGCAAACTTGCTCAAGCCACTTATTTCTCTGTGCCCCTGTCCTCAGAGCTCGCTTGGCCACAGGACAGAAAAGAGAAATATCTTTCTGGGGAAGTGGGGAAGAGGTCGGCCAGGCCCTGGCTGGTTTGGCTCAGTGGATAGAGCGGCCTGTGGACTGAGGGCTCTCAGGTTCAATTCTGGTCCAGACATGCCCGGGTTGCGGGTTCAATCCCCAATGTGGGGCGTGAAGGGGCAGCCAATAGGTGATTCTCTTTCATCATTGATGTTTCTATCTCTTTGTCCCACTCCCTTCATCTCTGAAATCAATAAAAATATATTTTAAAAAATTAAAAAAAGGTCTGCCAGGGGCTGGGCAGGTCCTAACATGTGGAGCATCAGGTAGGCCCTAACTGGGCCTTGGGAAGTGAGTGTGCCCAGCAGGTCTCGGGCTCCTAGGGGGTGGCAGGAGGGTAGGGGATTCTCTGCAAACTTAGTTCTAAAGCCATCCTCCTGGGCACAGCCTACCCCTGCCTCAGACCTGCTCCTGCCCCCTTCACTCCTCTCTCTGCTCCCCAATTCACACCTGTGACCACACTGAACCACAAGCTGTTCTCACACCTTCCCGACTTCCTTGCCCAAGCTGCTCCCTCTGCGAGAATGTCCTCTGCTCTTTACCTGGCTAACTCTTGTTTATCTTTCAAAATTCAGTATAAGGGTCACATTGATCTAAAAGCCTTCCTTGAAGCTCCCAGTCGGGGCTGGGAGTCTGCCTGAACTTTGTGTGTCAGTGTACATAGCACATGTAAAGTGGAAGTTAATTTACAACCCCCTCCTTCCCAGCTCACTGTGCACTGTTTCAATTCCCCATC